TTATAATTTATAAACTAAAACTTTTACTACTGTAGTACAAAGTATATGTTAAAAACTTACTTTTCAATACCATACTGACGTGTTTGTGGATCATAAGTGCCGTAAAACACTAGTGACCACTCTTTCAAAATACCCGGCTCTCTAACACTCTTAGGACTATCATTGTATATTATCAACCTCCAGGTGCCAGCCGCACGTTCACCCCAGTAGTGAACCGACGTAAATGGCCAATTGTAGAATGTGGTCCCATTTACATCCCGGGGCCGTGAAAATAGTAGGTGGGATACTGTGCCCATAGGGCTGATCAGTGAGATTTTGAGGGCACCCCTGGGCTTATACATCAAATAAATGCGCGCCTGGATGTGCTCCAAGTATGTCACCTCATTAGACGTTCCTTCACAGGCCTTACTGGTCACCGAGACCTGCAAACGCCGGTGCCGTTCACCGGCAATTTCATACTGTCTCTCGTCTACCGGTGTTTCGCACACACGCTGTACGGGTAGCCCCTCCCAATGTCGGGCCAGTGATACTAGTGCCGTGGCGTCCATTAGTCCGAACCCAAACTTATGGCTGACACGTCTGCCCACACCGTTGGTCAGCCAACCCGTCTCATGGCGTAGGGGTTCGTAACGGGAGGTCACGACCACTAAGTGCTGGACGTCCCGCCACGTAAGTCGCGGGTTGGCCTCCAGTGTCAGCGCCAGTATTGCGGCCGCTATTGGGTGTCAATATAATTGCTATTAAAATATATCATAAATTGTGGGCAACAGTACCCATGGGTGCCGAGGCTGATGTGCCCCCGTGGTTACGGGTGCATAGGTTGGACGTGTTTATAGGCCCACCATTGGCCAGACTGTGAAAGTACTTCATGTCTTGGTTTACAGACAATACGCTGCCTTCATATTGATGGCCACTGCTATATGTTGTGGACAGCGTTGATGAGCACTGGTATGTTTAGTTATTATTACTATTATGTAGTTTATTAACTTTTGTTAATAGGTTTGTTTGCCTACCTGTTCGGTATAGTAGGCCATTAATCCGTGCTGTGTGGCGCTGCTTATGGGTAGGGTGTATATTGAGTTGACATACCCATCGCAGTTACACACATCACCCTTACCGCCCCCATCGCCCGACGCCCACACGAATATTGATCCCAAACCATGCCTTCCCTTTTGAATGCCGTCCAGAATTGCTTTGAAAAACAAAATAAATGTTTTATTTTATAAACTTTTATATGAGTTCACTAAATATACCCCTCTGTACGAGACGTCCAGGTCCATCCAGTGATTGGCCATTATCTGTCGGCCCCCATGAGGCCGAGTATATGTCCACGTGATGGGGATGGTGGCTCAACGATTTAGCCTCTATCGCATCATTAACTACAATATAATCCAAATGAACTTGTTCAATGTAATGAATATTTATTATTAAAGTAGATGACATACTGGGGCCGTCGAGTAGCCTAATGCCACCGATACCGGCATTAAACGCGATGCCAACCCCACAATACTCTGTATATTACGGATGTATATAATTATATGTGTTTTATTGTTTTGTTAATCAATGAATGGACAGACAGACAGACCATTGTGTGCCTCAGCGGCCACTTCACCCGCACAACGAGTGCCGTGCCTTTGGGACAGGTATTCAAAATTTTAAGTA